TACATACATACATACATACATACATACATACATACATACATACATACATACATACGTACATACATACGTACATACATACGTACATACATACGTACATACATACATACGTACATACATACATACGTACATACATACATACGTACATACATACATACGTACATACATACATACATACATACATACATACATACATACATACATACATACATACATACATACATACATACATACATACATACATACATACATACATACATACATACATACATACATACATACATACATACATGCATAGACACACAAATACGCACGCACACATATGCACATATCCAAAAACACTCAAATACAATATGGGTGTTTTCGTCTGTTTCTGTGCTCTAACTAGTAACATAATAATAGTATGGAGGCTTAGAAACAGTGCCGGTTTTAAGACCCAGTCCGCCCCTGGGAGACGGTAATAATGTTATGAGAAAAGATATGAGTGTGGTATTGCTGAAAGACGATGCCCGCATGGGACACTCCATGATTAAAGTAATAAGGAAGAAACAAAATTAAATACAGTTTCTGAGACACTTGAATCAACATAATGGTCACGGATTTCTTGCTTTCATTTGAAAAGTAGAAGGCAACATTGAAATTGGCAGAAGTGGACCAAGCTCAACTTACTTAGAGACATTGAACAAATGGATGACGAAGAAAACATTTTGGCATGGAGAGCACTTGAAAAATGAAATGAATGGCAAACCATAAATACTGACGTCTATTTCATAGCTGTCACTTTGACATGGGATGAGTGTGATCTCCTTTACAGTCATGATCATCTATCACGAAGTCTAGCTGACAGTTGGGGTGCCATTGTAAATTTTAATACCAACTTCTCCCAGTTCTCGCGATTCTCAGCTCTCCGAAGTATGATGTTCCAGTCAGTTTTTGATTGTGTCTTTTCTTCTTTCCTGTCTGCCTTTACGCCTCCCTCCTTATTGGACAGTCTTGGCCAGTCTACGCGATCAGGTGAAATGCCTGTACCACTCCAGTTGATGTCTTTTCATTGAAGTCAGGAGGTGTTCATACGACCCAAAGGCGTATCCAATACTTTCCGGTTCTCACTACTTCATTTGTTATGTGATCTCTATACTAGAAGCCGAGCACTTAGCATAATCACTCCATATCCTGTGTCATCATCCGTTTTTCGGTGTCCACGTTTCGCACATAGAAATTTTAATATTATGGACAGGACCAGAAATGCATCGATCTGATCTTGAGCTGATAGCGATACCCTCGTCGTTCCAAATAACCTTTAGCTTGGACATTGAAGCTGCGTTCTCATCTACTCGGGGGGGGGGGGGGGGTGATTTGGACTAAAATCTCCAGATATTTAAAGTAATGGATGGTCTCCCGGTTTGTTAAGGGGGGGGGGGTTTTTTTTTTGGGGGGGGGGGGGGTTGAGGGGGAGTGAGGGGGTTGTTTTGTTTTGGTTTTGAGATTCGGGAATGTCAGTAACAAATAATAAGAAAAGCAGGAGGAACACGCCTCAGATTCTGACTATAGTGTCACCCTGGTCGATGAGGGATGATCAATCGACGAGGTAAAATTCTTTATCTTTGCTTACATTACTGACAGCCTCATCCATCTTCTGAAGCGATATGCGATGTATTCAACCGTCAGAACAACAAAAGAGATGGCAATTAGACTGGCTACCAGTAAGAAAAGCCAACGAAAATCATTTATTCGGGTTGGGGTCGCAGGCAACGGGGAATATTTCTTCACAGATTTTCTGCTAACTTGTGGATACATGGTTTGAAAAAACAGCTTTTGTGTAATTCCCGAGGCTTCCATATGCCTCAATAGATCTGAAAATAACGAGTCTATATCTGAATTTCGCGCTACCGGAAGTCCTGCAGCCATGTCAAAGATATTTTCCTCCAATATGACGAGGTCAGAGAGTTCCTCGTGGGTTTCTTGAATCAACTTCAGATCTGGCCTTGTGAATAT